GGGAAAGACCTTGGGTTTGGTCAAATGAGAAGTACAATGTTGCACAGTGTCAGACATAGGACACAATCTCCAGTTGTCTGCATGAAAGTCGGGTGGCTAACCAATTGATTTTGCTCTTGCGAATGAATAGGAACCGACACAGTGTTTCTCAACTAGTCTGCAGTGGTACCCAGTATAGCAGGCACTGGTCTCAACCAGTTCTTTCTGGGTGTGGTGTGGTGCATAACTTGTTTATTGAGAAGTGATTGGACAGTCTTATTGGCTAATAAAAATGGAGGGATTCACTGCCTAGCATTTTGTGCCCGGTCACCCAGGCTGACTTTTAATCTGCATCACACTGGTCCAATCAATGGCCTTATGGTAAGGCTGTTGAGACCCAGTGAAAGATACAAAAGGCCAAACAGAAGACTATATATCTGATGGCTCTTCGCTCTCTGAAGGGCTCCACGGTGAGCTGTTAAGCGCAGATTACTAGTCAGGCTGTAGTGCTCTCTTGTATTGGCGGACTGCTGGAAAGCACAAAAATTCATCATGAGGCGCTAATGATCCAAGACCACTGTTTAAATAGGTTGCTTTATTGTTTTTCTCTTAGTATTAAAATTCAACACATGCAAACAGAGCATTTTGACCTTCAGAACCTTTCGGGGGGGATAAAGGGACAACAAGAAACTACAAGAAGGAATAAGGTGAATGGGTAATGGCTATGCTGTGAGTATGTGAGCAGGCTCAGTGATGACCATCACCTGCACACAGCCAAGCCCGTTAACCTCTGAGGTACCACACTGACACATACTGTTGAGAGTTGGTCATCTGTGCTTCTCAACAAAGCTGTTGGCACTGTTGAAACAAAATCAGTGTGTGTGTGTGCGTGTGTGTGTTGATGTACTGGAATAAGAGTCTGTGACGTTATATACTGAACCTTGTGGCATGAAACTCTGGGTGGTGTTAATGAATCATTGTTTCATATCCTTCTGTGTAGACAGAGATAGAAACTGGCATGCTTTAGGGTAGAAAAAGGATATGTCATATCAGACACTTTCTCCACACATCGGTTTCTCAGCCACATGTTCGACTACCAAACTGCCTCCTCAACATCAAAGCAAAGCTGATAAAGCTCATGCTGACAGATATAACAGGTACACAAGTGTGCACACACAAATAAGCAAATGCAAGATTTTTTTTATTATTATTATTTCACCTAAAGTTTGATTTTGTGAATGTTTATTCGCTTAAATTTGTGCCTATGCTCTAGTGTCATGCTGGAGGCCATGGGGTAAGGTGTTTCCAGTTCTCTCATAAACAGACAACTTGACAAAATAAATGTATCAGAGAAATGCAGCTTAGATGATTATTCAGCTTCAGTTAATGTTGTGGAGGAGTGGATTATCAACTCTGTTCCTTCGCTCAGCAACTATCGATGAAATTTGCTTGTGCCGCAATAAGTGCTTCTACGTTTTTACACAGGCATCTGTACTTCTACTTGAGTAATGAATGTGTGTACTTTAGCCCCATCTGTTTTTTTTTAACTTTCTATATGTCAGTCTCAGAAATGACCTGTGATGAAAAGGGAGAAACAACCTTTATGTTCCTCTCCTGCTCCTCCAGCTACACCACTCAGACCTCCCTCTTTTTTGTCCCTTGATTCCCATGTGGCAATCTGGCTTAATCAGACTAGACAGCACTGCTCATGCATGTTTAGAGAGAGATGGGAGAAAATCTGTGGGGGAATTGATTAAGAACAATGGCAGAAGCAGGGAGATGGAAGAAGTGTACTGTATGTTAACCTGTTGTTATGTTGCTGTGTTACCTGGAAGCTGGCCTCATGTCCTTGAGAGTAAGACAGTTTGTCAACAGGTCAAAGTTGTGCACACATTTTGCTGTACTATTTATAAATGCCCTTACACACACATGGCCACAAATGTGGTCTCATCCCACATGTTCAAACTGTAACAGATATACATATGTTCTAATCCAAGCATTCACACACAAACACACACAGTTTTGTAGACTGTGACATACCAAGACAATATCACAGGCTAGTAAGACGTACACATACATGCAAATTCACCTTTACACTCCCCTGACACCACTGCAGACAGGCTGTGGGGTCAAATGCTCACTTTTAGTTTTGGCTCAGGGCCCAGCTGAGTTCAACATCATGACCTGCCCATGTGGTCACACTCTCCCCCTGCAGTAAACAGGACCACACAGTCTGGACTGTGTGTGCGTGTATGCACAGGTGAGTGTGAGTGACAAAGAGAAGCATAGACATATACAGTAATATACCTGGATACCTCCTACCTTTATAACCTCTTTATTTCTTATATCTCTAGCCATTCTCCCTTCTTGTGCATGGATGTGATAGCTAGGGACTCCTTTTTTCATCTTGCCAGGTTTTGACCAAGACAAACATTACTCTGATATGACACTGTGCAACCTTTCTACTCAGTTGATCTTTCATAAGTCTTAGCTTCTAGCTACACAAGGAAATTTTTGGGGTGACACAGGGCGAGGCTTATATATACAAGATTCTGGGGTATGACAAATATATTTGGATATCCCTGTTCCACTGGTGTTGTACTATTGCAAAGGTAATGTTTTATCAGAGGAGTGATGCTGCAGCAGACAAGAGTTTCCTTCTGACTAAGTGAGATGCCATCAATCTGTCCAGGGTGTTCAAATCACACTCCAGTGCCAGGACAGTCACTCTTCTCCATGCACAGGAAGAGATGAGAAAGGTGCAGCTCAACATAAGGATTCTATGTAAACCATGTATGTATGTGTGTGTCTTTTTTTGAATGTGTCTTTCAGGACACACCAGTGGGTCTGTCAGTGTTTATGGTGAATGCCACAGATCCAGACCAGGGCACCGGTGGCAGTGTTCTCTTCTCCTTCCAGCCACCTTCTCCCTTTTTCGCCATTGATGGTGCCAGAGGTATTGTCACCGTGATCAGATCTCTGGACTATGAGACAACCACAGCCTACCAGCTGACTGTCAATGCCACGGTGAGCACACACAAGTGTGTCTACATTAGCACATACCCAACTCCTTCAGTGAAATTAATGCATGTGCAGATACTTTTCTTATGCTTGTTCCTATCAGGATCAAGACAAAATAAGACCACTCTCCCGACTTGCTAACTTAGCTGTCGCCATCCTGGACGTCCAGGACATGGACCCCATTTTCACCAATCTGCCCTACAGTACCAACATAGAGGAGAACGTACCCCTGGTCAGTAATTCAATCCCACCTGATATCACAGCACCACATCCTGGATCCGCTTCATGCAGCTTTTATGTGAAACCCTGTAATCTGTCTGTTTCTTTTTCTCCCATCCTTTTCTGTTGCCAACATGTTCCACTTATCTTTCATCCCATTGCTCATCTTCATCTCCTCCTGTCCCATGTTCATACTCCTGTTTGATTATTCAGGAGGAGTTTGGAGCAAGTGCAAGAGAAATATGATTAAAACAGACGTCTGAGTTATTAGGAGGGCAGGATGTCTCACCTCTCATACCCCCTCCTGTGACCCCACCCCCATCCCCCAGGAACCTAAACACATCCAAACTCAAACCCAGGGTCTGCACATACAGCACTGCAAGTGTCGGAGACTGTAATTACTGTGGGAGATTTACACTCCTGCTTCAGGGATGTGAGGCCTCTAGCAGAGGTCACTGTGGCTCTAGGATTTAACTCACCATTCTACCTCACAAGTCTGTACTGTCCATTGTACAAGAAACTAAGTAGTGGGGTTTCAACATGACCTTACCTTTGTCTTTATTGCAAGTAGTTTTGTAATACACTGAGTATCTGTTTCCCTGTACGCCATTATTTTCACCCCCGATTCAGTTCTTTAAACTCAGTTCCCAGGTGGCTAATGGTCCAGCTATTGATGTTTCCACTCGTTGAGAGGGAATTACACACAAGGGCATAATACTGTCCGTCCTTTTTTCTATTCTCTCTCTCCCTCTCTCTCTCTCTCTCTTTCTCTCTCTCTCTCTCTGTTTTTGTTCTTCCTCTCTCTAAGTCTCTCCCCTGATTCACCCAATCCAGCCCCTTGCCCCCCTGCAAAAACACCCACCCACACATCTCTTGTCCCTAGCTTGCACGTGCCGTAGTAGAAATGTCAAGTGCTACATTTGCATGCATATTAACGGGCCGTGACGGAGTCGACACCCGGTGTCTCCCTGACTCTCTGATTCATCAACTGTCACCAGGAAGGTCACAACAAGAAGAAGAGGAGGGGGAGGCACGAGGGGGAAGAAAAAGAGATATTGGGGTGAAATGATAAAAGGCAAAAGGAGAGAGGAAAAAGTACTGAGAGAAGAAACTTAAAAAGACCACAATTACTGTTGTTAACAGAACTGAAAATGGTGAGTGGATTCAACATTCCTCACAGCAGCTCAGCACCACTAAATCTCACTAATACTGCCTTGGAGTGTTGTAGCTCAGTAGGGGACACTGTATAATCCTATCTTAGCAACAGTGTAAGAGAAGGTCATACCAAGCATGCAACCAAAAACTGTCACTGAGCCCCCTTGACCCGGCAACAGATGTAGACAAGATACATAACAACAATGCTTGAAGTGAGACACAGGAATATACTCCAATAGTGCCACTGCACATGTACATGCATACACACGTCCAATGCCCTTATGTGGTGCTTTTAATAGGCATGTGTCATTTCCATTAGCCAGTGTTTGACTGTGATAAGCTGAAGGTGTACAGCGACGAAAAGTGTGTCAGCTGTTCTTAAGGCTCATGACATTTACACGTAAAGTGATATCAAACTCGAATCCTTGCCATACGTAGGTCATTTCTCTAGGTGTGATAGCACACACAAGTACACACAAGCCTGTGCAAAACCTCTCTATTTCTGCCTCCATCTTTCAGTTGCTGTTTGTTTCTCTGTCTTTCTCTTTTTCTCCAGCCGATCAAGCCGTCATCCCTAGAAAACCTTGACAAAGGAGTAGAAGAATCTTTTTTTCCCAGATGAAATCACAGGGCAGGGTTTTTAGCTGTTATAGCTGTGAATCCATGCTGCTTGGACTGACGTTTAAGCCCTGTCTAGGGCAAACACAATTTGGCTGTCAAATCAATGCGGAGAAAAAGAGAATATGTTGGGGGTAATGCACTGTATATCTAGAAATGGAAGGATGCAGAGGGCGAGAGGGGGGTTGGCTTGGGTTTGGTGAGGTGTGCTGCTGTGTTTGCGTGTTTGCGGGAGGGGGATTGTATCTTTGACGGTTGATCGAACATATTCCACTTGTGTGGACTCCTCGAGAATATTGCTCATATTACTTCAGCATCACTTCTTCTTCTCATTCGCTTTCTCTGTCCCTTATTTCTCTCTCCCTCCTAAATCTTTTGTGTGTGTGTGTGTGTGTGTGTTCCCCTCTCAGCTACTGACTGGTGTGAATCAGTCTCTAAAAGGTTTGTAATTGTTTCTGATGTAAATGGTCAATGACAGGAGATGCTTTGGCAGAAATGGAGCATAAACATGCCTTAGACACAATTTGCAGGATCAATGTGGGGGGGGGGATCTAAGTGAGAGTTTCAGCGGGGGATGGGAAGGAAGGATAGAGGGTGGGAGGAAGAGAGAAGGAAGGAAATTGGTAAGTAGGGAAGGTCCCTTGATTTCTCACTGCAGCAAAGGGGGTTTTTAAGTATCACCACTGTGTCTGATTGAAGCATGAAGGCTGAGAAAGCTCAGTGGATCAAGACTTTTTCTTTCTCATTTTTTTTCCATCATACTTGTCAAGTTGCAGACTCATCTGCACAGCTGCAGAGATTTGAAACAATGAAAGGAGACAAAGTTCAATGAGATACTAATAACAGACTCCATAATGTAAAACAAAGTTTCTGATTTATCTGGTATGGTGCTGTTTGACTTTTTGTTATGGATTTACTGCTTTTTCCTTTCTGATGTGGAAATACAGCTGGGAATTAGAAAAACAGCACTCTTAGATGCCACTAACATAATTTTGTGCACACAATACCACAAAATAGGAATTGGATTATTTCATTTACCAGTAGCTGTTCACTGTGATACTAGGCTTCTTGTCATTGATATCAGGTCAGATTAATGAAAACTAATGTAAAAATACTAACAATGTGAGTGTGAAGATGCAGCTTATACATCAGACTTTGTTTCTCTCTCTCTGCAGGGATACGTAGTGCGGAAGTTAACAGCCATTGACCAAGATCTTGGCCGACCAAGAGGCATCGGCTACACCATCGTCTCAGGTCTGAGTCACATAATCAATCTGACAGCCACAGCACAGAGAGATAGATCGATCACTTCTTATCATAATCCTACAGCAATAATAGACAAGTCTCATCAAGCACAACAGTCGATAATGGCAGAGAGCAGCACCCCAACATTGGAGAATAGACTTGCACTTAAGCAGCCATTAATCACTGTTTGGTGCAGTTGCACAGAGGTCGGCCTTCATTTTGTGTTATCTTTCACATGGTGGCTCATGCCATTAAAACAGGATTATGATTTATCAGTGACAAATTTTACCTTTGGCAGAAGAGGATGAGCTCATGATTTTCTGTTATTGTCAACTTGTATTGTTTTGATAGTTTTATTACATACTGTAGTGCACAAGCAGTTTGGGTAAAATGCGCTGAGATGAAGTATCGATGCTAATGACCACCATGCTGAGCCTCCTTCTAAAATCCATAACTTGCACTAGTTTTATTATACTTGAGAGTTTTACTTTAAAGAGGACGAGTGGAAGCTACAGTTTGCATGGTGCTGATAAGGCTGTAGCTGCGATCCTGCTTTAATACTCCTAAACTTAGTTTTCCTGCCTCTGCCAAGGATGTGATGTTTGTGCCTGCCAGGTATTTTGTGTGTCTGTCTGCCAGGAGGATATCGCAAAAACTCATGTACAGTACAGCTTTCCAAGAAACTTGTTGAACAGATTAACCAAGGACAAGGAGCTCCAAGTTAGGTCTTGGTATTGATCCAGATCTAGAATTGTCACTATTAGATAGGTATCTTTTTATTTAGCCTTATCTGTGTAATGACAGAAATGATTCCAAATCCTTTTGGTAGGTTTGTGGAATGAATAAATCAATTTAACTTTTAATGACAGATTATTTGGAGAAAAACAGCAAGTGGGAAGGTAGTCACATTGTCTTTGTGCACATTTGTCTGTCTGTGCTACACCACTGTTTTACTCTTGACCTTTACAGGTTTAGCGTACACTGTCTGGGAATTTGAACTGAAAACCTTACAGCACACTTCTACTCTGACCAGTGTCACTGATTCAAAGAATAACCTCATTTGCAAACTCACCTTTGTGGAGATTGTGTTGAACTTAAATGAAGAGATGAAGTGAGTAAAACTATAACGGGGAGAAGCTACTGTACAGTAAGCACAGAGAGTGATATGGAGTAGCCATGGGTTTACATACATTCTTCCTCTTGAGTTGTAGCTTTAACCTTGTTCTGTCAGATTAATATTCACATCAATGCAACTATCATGGCTTACATCCTTCTTGCCATCAACCTAAGTATCAAATAACAATGATTTACTTAATCTGGGTACTTGTAGTATTTGTGCATTAAAGTCTCTGAATGTGTTTTAATCATAGATATGATTGTTGCAGGAACCAAACCTCTAGTTCACCTGAAATTATCTTGATCCATATGTCCTGTGTTTGTTCTTGTTAACAAATGATCACTAGTTGATTGCTTCAGCAAGCTTCAGTAAGCCACAGCTCTCCTTTTGTTTGCCTCCCATGGTAGACTCCATATTCCTATTAAAACAAATTGCTTTTGACCCAGTCCATGCTCTAATAAAGTTCTAATACCCTCTTAGGGTGTTTATTTTCACCACAATCAATGTTTCACTTCTGAAGGATGATCTATCCCTCGAAGATCCTTCAGGATTGAAACACTGATCTGTGTGATGAAAAGTAACACCTTGTTGGGAGGATTACAGCCTGTTTCCTTCCAACTCTGCATGCCCTCTGTCAAGAATGGCCAGGTTGTAAGGACATCAGTGCCTCTGGTATTGCCAGCTGGCTGGTAAAAGCTAGAGCTGGTTGAAGATATTCATTGTTCTGCCATCTGCTGAGTCACTGCCTGACCTCACTACTGAACAAAGAAATGAACTCTGTGCATGCATGTGAGCATGTGCACAGTCATGTATTATTTGTAAGCATGTGTGCATGTGATTACTGTCCACAGACGTACTTCTTCATTGAGTTCTCTGTAAACCCTCTGCTCCCATTCAGTGCACACACCTCCTCAGTCTTACTTACAAGACTGCCACATGTTGTACTGTTGTGTGTGTTGTGTTTGTTGTAAAGTTGAAGGGCTGAGTTAAGCTCTAGAGGAGAAGAGCATTAAAAAGACATTAATTAGGTGGTGCGATATATTCCCAGTCATTGCGAAATCAAGAGTTATAGCAATTCACTAAGCCCTTATGGTGATGGAGCCTATTGGCTTGATAAAATCATTATAAGTTTGATAGATAATGGAAGTTGAAGGGTGAGCCACTGCCAGGAGATAAATGTGGGAGGGTAAAGTTCTCAGTTGATACTTTTTTGTTGTGTGTGTGCATGCGCTTGTACATATGTACTTGTGAACATGTCACTATCTCTGTGTTCTGCTGCATCAGATTAGTGTAAGGGCGTTCTTGTTTGCAAATTTTAGTGTCTCTGCACTACGCCTTTCCTGCCTTCATGTTCCTCGCCCCGAGTGTCCTCAGAGAGCGCAGCTCTGTCCTGCGGGACTCGTCTCATTAGTTCAGTAATTAAGATAAACGGGGTTTTAATTGCAGCTGTGATTTATGCTAATGACTGTGGGATTCAAGATTCAGATTTCTTCTCACTCCTCCAATCAGAGGGCAAATCTGGGTTTTGATGTGTACATGAGATGGTATCACAACAGTGTCCTGCCTCAAATGTTGCAGTTGCTATTGTTAGGATGGTGGAGATTCAGTGGTGCTGTTTTAATGGGGAACTCCCTGGTCCATAAGGTGGTTTACATGCTGTATCCCTTATTGGTCCTTTGACCTACTGGTCTCATTGCAGTACTTATCAAAAACTCTAATCATGTCCGTCAAGTGATCTGGAAGTGCTTGTATTTTCATACCTAAAGTACACAAACAATAACAAATTATCTTTTTATTGACAATGAAATAAGGATTTTATTACACGCTGTTAGTGATTGTTACCCTATACAAACACAAATAAATGTATATGGATTAATGATAATACATATTGTAGATGTTGCTATAATTTATATAAATATATTTATTATAGATATTTATAAGATCCAAGTTATGGGAGTGCTCTGGCAATAATTGCTGTTACCTACCTGTCCTGGGTGCTAAAATATTTGCTAAAAAATTTGGCCAAATATTTGATATGTGATAAAGTCAAAATGCACTTCCACCGAGCTGAAACTCTCACCTAAAAAGTCGACACCATCATTGTCATCATTATATTTTATGAGTCAGTCTAGTTCGGCCACCAACAATATTATATAGGCTACAGTCACTCTGTGTGTTAATGTCCTGTTTTAAAGAAAAATTATTTGTTCTTGGCTCATGCTGGTAACTGGCTTGTTAAAAATGCAAGGAGGACCAACCACATGTTGAGGGAATCAAATATCTGCCTGCTCAGTCTTGTTTCATTGGTTACTATGACTCCAGTCACTGCTGGGAATATTCAATGACCTTTTCACATTATGCTTCTAGTCTTACACAAGCTTGATCTCCACTTTGACCCAGTTGGTAAATGCTTTAGAACAATAACACAGTAAAGAAGAAAAATATGAAAGATTTGTGGTACTTTGTGTTTGCCTTGAATGTGTGATCATACATATGTGGGACAGTTAGACATTCAACAATGATTTGACTGGCACAAAGGTTTAACAAAACCAGTTTCAGCAGTGAATGTTTATATTCACATCTACTTTGTATTATTATTATTTATTTTAAATTCAATTCAGTTTTATTCACAACCAATAAATCATCTCAAGGCACTTTATATAGTAAGGTCAAAACTTTGCAATAACCCAACTAACATGTAGTCTTATCAGTTTATGTGTGCATGTTTGAGCATATGTCAGAATGTTTGTCTGTAAGTAGACTACAGTACTTGGGATTTACTTGCCTATTTGATGTTTTTTTTGCAGCTTGCTAGATGATACAATATTAATACATACATAT